TTCAAAATTGAAATATTTGGGCTCGCGATATATACATATAATCGTTACTTTGAACGAATACAGCATTCTGATTGACCAATCGTCTTCTTGATACCGCAGATTGAATATCGCATTTTGTACGAAGTCAATAGGTGTTCATGTTCATAATATTTACGAAGAGGAGTGCGTCAACTCGTACCGACATGCGATGCGCCGATTATTCTTCTTTTAATTTCGCGACACTTCGACACAATTTGCCGCTGTTTGCTCCCCAACATGATGGAAAACGATTGTCTTCTTTGCTGCATTTCTATTCTCACAACCCTCGAATAAGAAGTGTGTAAATATCGTGTGAAACTAACAGGATAGTTCAGCTTTAATACTCGGATTCTATCGCGTGACCGAACGCATTCGTCTAGCAAGAAGTTACGGTTATTTTCATCGGGAAGAGTCACCGACTTTCGAGCTTTGCTTTAGCTCGATCGAACGATGCATTAAATCAGTCATATTCTTCTCCTTTCACGGATTTTCCCGCTTCGTTTTTCGCCAAAAATGTTTGGAATGCGATGCATTATCATAGTTATTATGCTCGTCGAAAGATAAGGACGGAAGTGGAAGTTAGAGAAATGGGAAATATCAGCGTTGATAACTTCTCCCCATTTAGTTCGATAACGAAAGCAAGTAGTACAATATACTTTTATGGTACATGAAGCCTCTTTTCCGAATATACTTGGTTTCGTTAACATACTGCTGCTAATAACGAGGCAAATATGCCCTGGAACGAAAAGTAACGCGAGACAATGCAAAATCCTTTGAAGCGGTCGTTGCTTCAAATTCTACCGAGAAAAACAAGGAAATTTAACGCGCAGAATGATTGTGGATGAATTACGAAAAGGGTAGAAAATAGAAGGAATTGAATAGGAAGAAGAAAAAAATAACTAGCGAGTCGATTAGCGAGCTTGTGCAAAAGATGCCGATGAATCTCATTGAGAACTAAGCACGACTGCGCGGCCTTCTTCCTTCTGTCGGATTTTGATTCCTTTCTTTTAAGTTGGAAGCTATAGATATTTTGACACAGATCTTTGATCTGAAAGTAACAAGTGGGAAGTTAATGGTGAATCGTTATCATCATAAAATTGAGAGGCATGTATCAACAACTAGAGATTCTTGTTTGTATATTTATTCTTTTCCAGGAATGTAAAAACTATTCTAAAACTTCTACATTCGTTTAACGTTTGGTTACCTACCACTACTCGTGCAACATAACGCGAAGGTGTAAGGTCTGATCGCTACTACGACTCGATCACTGGTGTCGGATACGTAGCAACAGTAGCATAGTTAGTGAATGTCGCGCGATCTAATGGTGGCGCTACAACTATAACAACGATTTATGCAATTTTGATTGCACAATCTGTTTCATAAATTAAAAAGTCAGACACCTTAGAACCTTAAATCCCTCGTACGGATTTGAATGAATTCCTACGCTTAAGTGTGGTACCTAAGTATGGTTTCCTGATTGCGTTGAAACTGCTAGCACATACCTACCTGTGACCAGATAGCCTAAGTAGATAGGTAGAAAGGTAGGTAGGTAGGCAGGTAGGTAGGTAGGTTGATGGGTAGGTAGGTAGGTGGGTAAGTGGGTAGGTTGGTAGGAGTAGTAACAGAGGATAATCTCGTGGTAGCTAGGCTGCGGTACTCTGCAGTACTATATGCCGCCATCTTGCTTTATCGATTTTGACTCCTACCCTCGCCTTGCTTTCTCGAGCTGGCAATTCCCTCGTCTTTCTTCTTTCCCTTGTTTCTTGTTAGCGACTTCTTTTCTTCCACCATTCTTTCCTCTCGAATTAAATTCACGCTTAAACGAAGATGTATACATTCCATGTTAACAAATATATTTGCGTCAGTGTGATCGCATCGTGTATACATCTTTGACCATGTACCGATTATAATTAACTACGAACGAGTACCGAGTATTACGCGGAAAGAATATCATGCTAAGGATTGCGATTGGGACGACGCTGAAGGTGTGTTTATCAGTTAACAAAGCACACGATAACATAACAAAAAGAATCGCGAGTAACGCGATATGACTCTAGTATAGTTACAAGATAGACATGCAGCTAACGCGAGAACAGAATCCACGTTTCACAGGAAAACGAGGGTTTATGGTTTCTTTCATATTTCTGACGTTACTCCGATCAAACCAACGCGAACAGCTCGTCATCCGTCATCTGGAGACGTTTTCAAAGTCATAGGATAATCGACGGATAGGATAATCATCGACTCTATAGATGAAAATGATGCATCGGTATTCCCTACGTCTGTGTCTCGGAGAATAAGCGTATAAGAACGTTAGGAATCGTTAACCCTGGTATACAGTCACAGTAATAAGTAAGGTCTGCGTGGAAACGACGATATTTGGGAATACAGTCGCTCTCAGCAGCTGGTGTTTGCGAATGTATATAGATCATTTCAGGTTTTCGCAGTTAAACTTTGTCGGTGTATTCTACAGATATAAATAATACGCAATACGGATACAAATACATCCTGCGTAAATTGAAATTATAATTTATCTATTCCTTCTTTATTAATTTTTTGTACAGATAGAGTGTCGCAAAATTCGTGAGCGTCAGTTGCATGATAAATATTTCCGCGTACCTGCTAGGAACTGGTTGAAGGTACGTTACGGCAAACATCATTGTCACTGCTGTCGAGGATAATTTCCAGCCTGACGGGAGCTGAAACTCCTAATTCGACAGGCGTGTGATCGTTCCGCCAAAAGTGTTGGCCAAAATAATTTTGCTATGCGTTATCATGATCGAGAATTTTGTTTTCTAGACATACGAGTTCTTTGTAGTCAGAGATTTGAAATTAGATAGTAGTTGTTAATAACTTTAATAGTTTTTTAAAGATTATCGAGGTCTTAGGTTGGGCTCTTTTCGCAAGCATCCTAATATTTATGAATACGGATCGAAATAGAATTACGATTTTCTTTGTCGTGACGAATCGATCTCTTATCGTAAGCGAAAGATCGTTTCATTGAGAGAACCAAAAATAGACGGAGCCTCGGTTAAGTAAGAGCGAACCGGTAACAACAGGGAAGTGAGTTTCCTCTCCGAGAAAAGAAATCTCATTTGATTCGGTACTCTTGTGAACGAATAGCGGTCGTTCGACGTTTTTCCTGCAAGAGCACGTTTTTAACCTATTTTAGCCGATTCCCGTGGAAAGTGAACCGGAAACGTACAACAAAAATGAATTTGTAATCGGAGAATTTTTTTCTCCGATTCCAGCGTTTCTACTGTTCGAAATATGCGTCGTAACGCTTAGGTACTTTTATAGTTCAGAGTGATCGTGGCGAATAGTTGGTTACCGTCTCAGCGTCATATCCGACAGCGAGTGACGTACTTTGGCCCCTTTCACGCAAGAGGGTGAAACTTATTTCAAAAGGGTTATTTTAGGAACAGAAAGGTGGCTGACCGACCACGCATCGACGCGAACATTTAGAGACACATTCTCGTCCTCTCTTTTTTTGATTCATCCCTTTCATTACGATATCTTTTGCTCGCCGATATTTTCCATTGCCGTAAATCGAGAATCTACCACTTTTCTTCTTCATTCATTTTCGGTCGTACAAATTAAGAAGTTCGTAATAAAAGCGACCTTCTATCTTCTATCACTTCGAGATCGAATTGTGGAATTTGCGACAGGAGAAGGATGAAACGGATGAATGGTCACTGATGCAGTCTATGCGATTTTCAAACGTTCCGGTGCCTGCGTTGTGTTAACTTTAATTAATGTACAGCTGTTGAGTATTACTCTTTCGCCGAGATTAAAGGGAACGAGATTAATTCAGAACGAGTGTGACATCTGGCACGTGTCTCGACCGCATTTCCGTAAATGTGTTTGCTCTTTTATACACCACCACCTTTTATCGCGTGCTCTGAGCTCTGGATGCGGCACGATACGCATACATATATGTATTTGTTGGGCCGCTAAGCGGATTTCGACAGAGAGAAGTAAAGTGTGAAAGTGAAACGTGCGGCCCAAGATACGTCTACAATCTACGTTCGCGAATCGATTTTTCGCCGCGCGTCGATACGGTCTTTTCCCTTCTATCTTTGTACTTTTTATCGACCGTCGAATATACTGGACGTATTCCTATAACGATAACGTACTTCCTTATGCGTACTTCCTTTCTAGGTACGTACACAAGAATCTCGTTCTACTTGAACGATTAATCTCCGCGTAATTTTTATAGATAGCACAGCGTCGGTTTTCAGAAAATATTTCCGCAATACGCGCATGACTTACTCGGGCATTTTTATCAACGCGTAAGTCTACAGGAATGCAGTTTCGAATTAAGTCTCATGCTATCGTCTCGAGCATGATAACGATCGAAACTTGTTAGATCCACGTCGCGTTCTATTACTTTACCTACCTTTTTACTATATAATCACGATAGTCGAATTTCGTTACTAATGAAATTCTAAAATGTTTTCTATAATACATGTGCTATACTCGTAAAAGGTTTTTACAAGTATGCACATATTCGGATACCATCGCCAGCCATTGTACATTCCAGCACCTTGTCGTTGGTTTCGTCCTAACGAATTGCTGGCTTGAAATGTAACTACAGGAAAAGTGACCAAGAAAAAGAGAGGCGTAGGAAAATAAAATGTGTGGATTCGATTGAACCAGGACGGAAAAAATATTTGGAAGACGACACGACGCGCGATCGGAAAGGTGGGAGAAGAAAGGAAAGAAAATAGTAAACGCGGTGCTAATGCGTCGCGTCGCGCCGGTTCAAGGGAGCACTGTGACCGGCGGGTCGCGACAAGAGAATATCGCGAATCGTCCCGAGATAGTCCACCGGTTGGAGGGTTGGATGGCCGTGATGGTGGGGTTGCGTCGACCGCGACAAGTATATTCGAGCGTATGAAAGAGAAGGAAAGAAATAAGGGAGCGACGAGTGGGAGAAGATGAGATCGCGCAGGCGCCAGCCCCAGCCCCGAACTTCCCACGGGCTGATCAGTCGTGCGTGGCACTTGACACGCGCTGCGTCTTTTCGTTTGTTTCTCTTGGACTTTTTACGGATCGCATCGTTTTCATCCACCCGCTTGTACTCTTCCTTTCTCTCGCTTGGCTTTGCCTCTCCTCCATTTTCCTTTTTGCTCTTTCTTCCTTCCTCTATTTGCACCTCTTTCTTCCTCTTATTCTTCGTTCTTTGTTTCCCCCATATTTCTTGCTCCCCTCTTCTCTGCCGTCGTACCTGTCCTCTATTTTCATGTTTTTCTGTTTCCCTTTCTGTTTGAGAAATCTAATTCCATTCAACCTTTCGATGTTTCGAAAATTAGAATAACACGGATTTGCCGTTTCGTGTGAAAGTCGTGCTTTTCGTTGCAACGGCTCCGAATGCCGCAAGTGAAGTCTATTCGCCAACATCCATGTTGATTTTAGTGTAAACTTGACGCCTGGTGTTGCTGTCCTCAAAGTGTAGAGATTTTAAAAGTTATCACTGCTTCGAGTTGGGTGGTCTGCTTTTTTGAACTTCGACTAGGCTACCGAACATAATCAAGAGGACTGTGTACATCATACGTGATACGAGTGATTCAGTGAATGATTGAATTATTGCGCGTGCTTGCCGGTTTCGTTTTCGATAAATAAAATTTCTCCGCGATACGGGTAATATCTGTTCGAGCCTTGGAGACGTGTGCTCCGACTCACCACGTGTCGCTTTCGACAACGAACAACGAATAACAGAGAACAAACTCGTGAGTTTCAACCGCCCAGCCTTACATCTTCCTACCTTGCGTCTTCGTGACTGAATGTTCGATTCACGTGACTCTTCTGCTGCTATCGATGTCGAGATCGTTACTGGGCAACGTTACCATCATACTCTCCAACGTTTTCTCCCCTTGCACCAGCTACCTTTGACTCGATGCAAGTGGCACTCCTACGGAAGGAACGAGGATCGATATTTACAAGGTAGGATGTGTTCTGCTACGAGAAATTCGGGGTATTTTAGTTATGTCTGGCAGATCGATCAAAAGTTGAATCGGCCGTGAAATTGACTACGAAGAACCGAGCCCATATTATCCAGATAATCCTGCTCCGTTCCCGGTTTCCTCTTTGATCGTAAATAGATATATAGACGTGAATTTTTCAAACTTTATGTGCTCGCATATTGCTTCAAGGGGTTACGTCTCTACTGGTCCCTTTTATCGATACACCTACATGTTGCGTTCAGGAAAGAGACCAGGAACCTCCTTTACAATAATTTACTAACTGCACAGTAGCCTTAGTAGATACAAAAACTGTTTTTACGGTTTTACTATTTTACGATATATATTACGTTTTTGCTGTGATAATCAGCCGGCTTTTAGGTCGTAAGATTCGTTTGTAAACATTTATTTTTTTTATTACTAAACATGTTACGACTGAACGTTCATTGGCTCTTGTTACTTGGGTAACCACGTTTTAATAAGCGCAGAAGACTTTTAATACTTTGAGAAAGACTGGCGTAAAATTGTAACAAAGAATCGTAGATATCGGCAACGATTATTTCATAGTTTTCTTATGCTTGGCGAATTCTTAGTAATTACACAGTTCAGCTATTTAAATAGTGAGACTCGCGAGAAGTTGATTCTGTCGAACACGAGTAAGACGTTTGTTTTAACACAAATCGTTCGGAAACGCCATGTGTTGAAGGAAACCGTTGTAGGTGAGGGGGTGGGGGTGGTAATGCGGTCGCCTCCCTCAAATAATACTAGCACATATACAAACTTGGATATTGATTTTCTAGCGACTGTAGTAAACTCGTCCGAGACGGTCGTGCCCAGTCTTTGTAATTAATTGTTCCTTTTGTTTACTGTTTGTCATTGGTTTGTTATTCGTAGTTGTACCGTGGAAAGAATATTTTATCAGATAAACATTCGTCGAATATGTGATTAAAACGCGTTGCATGAAAAAAAGATCATTCAATAAATAGCGTAAGAGATCCAAATTTTTGTTAGCAATTACACCAAGTTATAGCAATGTCGTAACAACGCGTCATGTTCAACAATAAAATGTTCTTTTCAAGGATCGTTGCCGGGACGAGATTGGTCTGAGATTGGAGCGTTTTTCATAGCGTAAACTTATATTGGAAACCATGAGATAATTATAATTTGAGGACCGACAGTGTGAATCGAGCCTTAAGCTGGCAAGAGTTCGCACAAGTTCGTAACATACCAAAAGAAGCACGAAGAAACAAAGGGAGAAAAACAAAGACGTCGAAAGAGAATTTGGCAAGGCGGCCGCATAGTTTGAGCGATAAGTTGGCGATAACTCGAACTTAATAGCCCGTAATACTAGAACGAGCTTCGATGCGCGCCGTCACGCAACTCATGCCTTTTGTAAATTACGTGCAGACGTATCGTATACAAAAGCTTCTAACACAGGTCGTTTCCGTTATGTTCGTTTATCTCTGCAAACATGTTGCTTAGAAATTGTTGTTCACGTTGCTGGGGCCATACTAGTCAGAACTGTTCGAGAAATGCGACATTTTTCTGGAATCTATTTCCCGCGTTATTTGTACATTCGCAAATTTATCTTTTATACCGTTTTCGTGTTTTCGTCAATTTGCGAATCCCTTGTAACGCTAACATTGATCTACCACGTACAAGAAAGCTTTTCTTTGAAATATATCACGCTATCGCTCTCGTTATCGTTATCATCATCATCATCGTTATCGTTATCGTACAATAGATCCGAGCATCACGATTATAATAAGATACATACGTGTTATACTTTTCAGGTTATCCTGCCTTTCATTTCGCGAAATGATTTCGATTTAGCAGAAAATTGGATTATTTGGATGGTGCGTTAAATGTTTGTCGCCTTGAAATTGATCGTTCCAACGACCTGTGAAAATAAAGCTGACTTGAATTCGCAGAACGTAGAATCGATATCGTGAGATTGCGTGCCACTGGTCATCGTGCATTGATAACGAATGAGAACGAAAGTTGCTCGTATACCAAGAAGATGAATAGCATACCTTTTACTAAAGATCAATTTTTTTTCGATATATTTTTTCGCCGTTAACCACGTTATGCTATCGGAAGGATTAATTCGTGCTAAATCGGTCAATGAAAAGACGAAAGGCAAGTGAACGGACGTCGCGTGTATTATAAACGGATTACTGCCTCGACACACGTAAATATGTAATCGATATGTAAATCGATGAGAATAAGAGTACCCGATTTATGCGACGAAATCGATATATCATCGATGATAGAATCGCACAGATATTTTGATATGGATCGAGAAAGTATATATACAGCTACTACAAAGCTCTTAAAAATATTTCCAAAAAAAAAAAAAAAAAATGATATTTGTTATATTTTTGACCTTCCGAACTACGTACACGTATCAGGAAGTCTACGCGATTCCATCGTTAATCAAATAAAATTTCTCGTAAGTACGTTAAATAAATTATTGGATAAGAAAGTTGGTGTTGCGTCCTGTCGATCGTTGTTCTCCTATGTCTACGCTTTCTGATTTGCCTCGTCATTTGTCGAGATAATGCTTGGCACGAATATCTCTGCGTAATCGGCGGTAAATGAAATCTAGCGCGCCCGCGCGAATCGAAAAGGCGCGGGGTACGTAGAATTCGGCTGCCTGGTGGCTCGGGATAGTCACCTATATCGATCCACCGTCGAGTTTACAGCGTACCAACTTAGGAACCCCCTGCGATCAAGGCCGCCCTGTGAAAAAAGCGGGAAATACTTGAACTCGAGGGAAGAATGGTGCACTAACTCCGCGAAATTGAAGAGGGTCGTTTGATTTATGGCGGAATCGTTCTAGGACCCCCTTCTTCCTCTCGTTCGACGCTCAAATTTCGCAAGTTGCTCTCGCACACCCTTTTCGATCGCTCGTTCTCTTCATTCTATCCTGTGCTTTCGACAATATTTTATCTTCGCAATTTTTCTTTATCCGCTTTATGCCTGTGATTTTTTTCTTTTAAAATCCGACTCAGCTAATCGAGCTAGCTATTCGTGCAGCGACACGCGGTATCGTGTCATGCGTCATTTGAAAACATTTTATGATATGTCTTTTGGCCTTTTGACTTTATAGAGTTAAAACTTGAGGTATCGATACGAAACAATCTGTGTACGCAAGCAAATACGTGTTCTATCGTCGTCATGAACAGTTCTTGTAGATTAACCAGTTTCTCTAATCGAACGTGCTCTTTCTGTTCCAGGTACGTAATCGTAGTGGATTTCTTTCTACCGAGATCTTGAACTCGCAACTGTCGCACAATTACCTTCGATCGATACGTATCACCTTCGATGCTATCTCTACGTTTCGAAGGTAACGAATTATGTGTATGCTTGATCGTGGTCCCTTCGGCGTGAAACATTTTCGTGTTTCTTACACGCTTACTAAATACTTTTTGCGTAGTAGATAATGTACATATGTATTTAGTTGTATATGTTGAGATACGCTGAATGTTATTTTTGAGAAAATAATTTCTGAAATGTAATAAATCGGAAGCACGAGAACGGAAGGAATAAATTTAGAAAAGAATCGTAACGTGCTGTTACAAAGATGTGTTTTTTAATTATTTTCTGAATCTACGATGCGCTTTCAAGAGTGAAAAATGGAAGATTTTAGTTATAGTAAACTATAGTTTAGCTATATAGTATATTCGACAGTTCGCGGAGAGACGCGATTGCGAGGAAGCGCGCCAACGGGAGCCGTAAATTCCCATTACGATTATGTAATCGACGCCACCAAGTGATCGATCCCCTATTTCGTTCAGGATAATAAAGGTGGTTGAATTGATTATAACCCTGAGGTAACAGGTTACAATTTACGCTTTATTCAAACAACTTGTAGCCAAAATGGTTACGCTCGGTGCGTATAAATATAAGTTAGCCAGATGACTGATCTAAAGTACATATAGACCAGTGCCGAGATGTTGACTGATCTGTAGTCGTTGAACCAGTCCAGAGATGATGACTGATTTGCTGATGAGAATCCAGTGAAGTTCGGTCACTGGTCGCTTGCGGGTGACAATCCCAATGGGAAAACCCACGTTTCCCCTTTTTATCTGATGGAGCAATAACCATAAGGAACGTCTCGACCTGAAGATATTTTATAACGATTGAGGCACTAACGGTAAAATCGAAATGCTTTGTTTCATTTGTAATAAAACAATCTGTAGTTCCTTAGGATTATTGCGGTCCAATTAATTATTTGCACTGCTAGTGACTGTCCTGACCCGCCGAATTCAGCCCGCACTGTATAACGCGAAGTAACATATATTGTTGCTCATATAGATCGTTTATAATCGAGATCGGTACGTTTCTGTTTTGCGCTCGTACATTCTCAACTATCGGACTGTATATTTTTTTTTATGTGCAAACTGACATACAATCAAAGGTAAAAATGGAAAGAATAGTTGACGAAACGAGCTGCGTTGCTATACTCAACGTATAGAAGCTGTGTTCAAATTGAAACTCATCGATCTGGCGTTTCACAGAAAAGTGTGCGAGAGACACGTAGCAGGCGAACAAAATATTTATAATATAATATATATAATATATAAAAATATATAAAATAAATAAAGATATATAAATATATAAATAATAGTAAATTATTTAGCTTAAATAAAAGCTTGAAAAAAAAGGTAAATAAAATCCGAGGGAAATACAAATACGGTGGAAGCTTTTTACGCGTAATGAATGTTCTCTTAATGTATCCGATATAATACGGGTCGAGAAAGACAAATTTTCGGGTCCGGCCTCGTGGTTCTCGTTCTAATGCACCAGAAATTAACCACCTAATGCACATGTTCCTGATATACCGTAAGATAGCTTCCTAAGATATGGCTATTTTAAATAAATCGTATTCGAGTACCCGTTATTCCGGGATCCGATGCTTGATTCAAAATATAATTTTTCTGTTTTCTTGCATTGAAACTTAGTTAAAGCATGTACAAGAAAAGCTTTACTTTAGGTACAAGTCGGCCTCAAATTTAGTTCGAGTACAAGATAACTGATGTCCTGAGTCGCAAATCGGGTTCCTGAATGTGTTTATGTATCGACAAACTTTCAAGATACCGATCTGAGTCCAAAAAGCATTGCCGACCCGATCCAGGCTCATAATTTCGGGTACTCGCACATCCATAGTTATTTAAATCACCTATGTTTCAACATTTTAAAATTCAATCTTGTACTTTGACGCAGAGCAGTTTTTCCATCTTATTGTTACAGAATATTGTTAATTAATTTTGTAATAAGAGGCACTCTCAACGGATGGAATAATGCTTTTGCATTTAGCTAAATAATAAACTGATAAATTTCGTTTAGTTTTTAGATAAAATAGGTAAAGTCTATGTATATAATGTAAATCGTCTTTTATTTATCTAAATTTTTATTTATTTAATCGTCATTCGTTATCTCCTTCATCCTATTATCCCTTTTCTTTGAAGCTTTTGCTACGTATCATTCTACGCTTCTCCCGATTTCGATAAAGCGAGATCTCCCAAATGTATGTGTTGCGTAGAACGTCGAGTGCCAAACGACAAAAGAATCTAACCACTTTGAAGATCACTAGATTCGCATAAAGGACCAATGGATTAATAACGCAACCGATATTCACGATGAAAGTTACTATCGGCTACTTGGAAAATCAGCGAATAAGTTTGTCGTATTGTTCCATAGCTCCGCGTGCATAAATCGTTGATAGAACTATGACTCGATGTTTCGCGTTGGTTCTATGTAATCAGGAGAGATCACTGTAGCAAGAGACTGTGTGTTTGCTTCCTATACACAAATGCGATAATTAGCCCGCACTTAGGCTGAATCAAATGGGGTTGGCTGGTGTATTTGCTCGATGCATAGCTTGTTTTCTAATTAATGGATGCGTCTCCTATGTTGCGCGCTCCCACAAAGTCTCCGGTAGCAATCTCTTTTCATCGAACCCTCGAATCTCTTTCTGCGCGAATAATCGTGCCTCTTGCCTCGTTTCAGTCGGACAGGCAACATGAAACGTAATTGCTGAAAAGCTTCGCGATATACATATGCGCTACAGTTCATAAGTATCCTCTTGTTCAAAACAAGTGACTGCTCGGATACTTTTGAACACTAGCGTAGATTTTGTTCTGAAACAAGATTTACGACAGTCAGCTGTTTGCTCGGACGTTGGTTCAAAGGTGATTTGTTAATTTCGTCAAGATTTTCATGTTAAATTCGGGAAAAGTATAAAAAATGATGACTGGTGCCGATAGTAGAGTCGCGTGTCCCTGTCGATGAATTTGCCACGCGTTTGATATTTCGGTCAGTGAATATTCATCGTCTATCGGCAGGGACACGTGTAGCACGGAAATGCGCAACGCTTGTACTCTGATTGGATAATAGTTGCACGCGCGATATGCGTTATATCTAATCGCGCAGTTAACGAAAGAGCTGCTGGTACCTACACCTTTCAGACCCGACACTCGGCGCTTGCGTAAAATGTTAGTTTTGAACGTTGAAAGGCGGTAGTTTAGAATTATAAACTCACTCAAATTAGGAGGATTTAGCAAGTGAAATGAAAGGAACGGATTGTCGTGGTAAAGGGAGAAATTGGCACCGTGCCGAAACAGAGGGAAGAACGAAAGCAAGAAGGGAGTAACTGCGAGTGGACGCTGGATTGGATTCCATTAGTTACTTGGCATCAAAGATCGGTCAGAGCTTAATCGGCTTCGGTCGAAGGATCCCTGGGGACAATTGCGTTAACTACCGGCTTTTGTTTGCCAACTTGCACTAACAGGACCCCTTCCGACCCTTCGTTATACCGTTTGATTTTCGTTTCACTCCTAATCGGTATTCGAAGGAAATTAAACGCATCGTTCGTCGTCGAGAAAACTCACAAACGTAGCAAAGAGAAATCGCAATGTCTTTGTGCGATAGAAAATCTTTCCTTCTTGTTTAGCGTCGTTAATTGTGCGTAACTATTTGTTTTATATCAAATCGATCAAGGTAAGAAAAGGATGTTTAGAGGAGAACAAATTTTTGTAACGTGTTCCTGTGCTTATACATATATGTGTATATATATATGTCGGAGATAAAAGAACGGGATTTCGCATCCGGAATGTTGGGAAAACCCCAATACCCTAGTCCAGACTTTTACTATAGCTACACTTAAGTAATAAAAATAAGAAATAGTTCTAATATTCTAATCTGGCTTTATGACGATGGGTTTGGGTTCAGGGTGACATAGCAGGTCACTAGACGTAGCCACGGTCACAGGAGAGACGTGTACCTGACAGAGGTATGGAATGATTATATGACTCTCCTTAAAAACAAAGATTGACCCGAGAAGTGGGGACAGGAATATATAAGGGCAGTTTTACTTGGATCACGAGTTAGTTACTTAGTCGTTGGAGGAATTGCTAAGTGAGTTATCGAGAGAGTTACCCGAGTCGTGCATTACGTTTGTACTCGTCATCCCGTGGACCGTGGATTCGTTATCGAACCTGAATTCGTTGCCACCATCATCTCCACCATCTTATCGCCGTTATTCCGCTACGGTAAAGTAAGTAAAGGTTCATTGAACGCCTCAAAATGCCAACCTGACTCCGACATATATATTTTCGATGGATGTTATTGTGGATAGCCAAGAAAAGAATCTACCGTTTCCATCGCCGCGCACTCTTGTGAATTATTTATTTGATGCCGAGCAAATAAATGTCAGCAACGTGTTCATATTTTCTAGTACCTATGTACGTATGGTTGAAACAGCGCTGATAAAAGAAACCAATTTTATTCTCAGTTACTTCTCACCTTTATTCGACTGAAAGCGACACCGCTCGTGCAGAATTGGCGAGTAAAATATATAGACGCGTTTACACGTTGAGTCACTAGGTTATCTGGAATGGCCAGAAGCCTGAGAATATTTGGTACGCTATATTTTTCCATACTTTGTTTGTCTCTTACGTTTACCTTCTAACAAATTAATTATTTATCCAGGTCAAGCGAGTTATCCAGAAATTTAGTAGTTACGTTCATAAAAATAAAAAATTGCGTCAACATCAGTGTCTACATACAGCCTACTAATTGTTGCGCAGTTGATTCTGAATTTATTCGGAATTGGAGTTGAGTCTTGGCTAAAATACGTGGAGAACTTTTTTATGCTTTGCTACTTTATTACATATTTTATATACAGCGCAATGCATGTACACGTACAATTATGCATATTTAGCTTGTTAGTAAAGCGTAGAAGGATGCCAGCATCTTGTAGTCATATCAACGCGTGTTCACAGTAACAGAGAATGTTATGCTCTATTATGTTTGCTTCAGCACTTGTGTTTCAGTTTGAGCCGATATTGTCTAAGTTGATGAGTCTTGGTTAGGGTGTTGTGCGATGCGAGGCACCCTTCGACGTGATCGTTCATGCATCTCGATCAAGTCTGGAGAGCTCTCGGCAGAGCTGTCGAGATCGGTGCAGTCGTCGTGATTAGGTCCGAAATGTAGGTAGGTGGTTCGGTTAGATGGTTAGACAACGTAGTAGGGCGCAGAGTAGGCAGCGGCGTAGTAAGGGTAGCCGGTGTACGCGGCGTAAGGATAGTTGTAGGCAGCAGCCGTGTAGGCGACCGGGGCGGTATAGGCTGCACTGTAAGCGACGGGTGCGGTGTAAGCTGCGCCCAACAGGAGTCCTCTCTTATCCCGAACCGCGGTTTCAGCTTCCGCTGCCACTGATTCGGCCTTCACCGGTTCGATGGATTCCGTTTCCAAGGGTTTCGCTAAAGCTACGCCGACCAGAGCGAGCAAAACGATAGCCTAGAATTGTGAGAAAGTCATTAATATCGTCATTCGTTTGCCTCTGTTTTCGGATGTGTATTAACGCTGGATTATGATTAGATGCGTGTTTTCACGAACTGTCTTTCTGTCGATAGATATGCATTTTGATCTTGGAACGTTTCATTTGTCAGAATACACATTCACTGTAATCATAATCGTAGCCTTAATCTGTTAACCAGGGAATACAAATTCACTTAAATCGTCAATCTCTTGGCATGATATTTTTATTTAACGATTCTCTATTTTTGTATGCGTTGTTTCATTTCTAGAAAAAATTAACTATGCGAGGACTAAAACCGATTATATGCTTTTGTAAACTCGAATTTTAACTTCTAAGCTAATTTTTATGGCAAAGTTTCGATAAACGATACAAAGTTTAGGCTAAAATATCGTTAGTTAGAACAGTTATTGTAAATCGGATCGCCGACGGTAAATGGGTTAGAAGTTTACTCACTGCGATGCACTTCATTTTGTAGATTGTTGAGGAGATGCTTGGACAAGCTTGGTTGAAAATCGATTGATGCTCGAAACATCATGGTAGCCCCCTTTTATACCTATTCGATCGGGACGTCGCGTCGACGTTACGTGCATCGATTCCCGATGTTTACCTCGCGTAATCGCGCATAATTATTAACCTCTTGGCGTTGTCGGTCACGGGGCTGCATTGAGAACGAGCAACCTCGCCGGATTTCGTTGCTGACGCGAGATTAAGCAACACGTCCTTGGCCATTGTCCAAACCGAAACGTTCGACGTTCGGCCGATCGAACATCTTCGTAATTTTTTGACTACGAGTGTTTCATCGAATAACATTGATATCGCTATCCGCTGATCTATACAAGATGGAAGTTTGGTCGTGGAGAAAGTTTCAAAGGGCCAATGTCTCTTCAATCTATGGAACGATCGACCTTGTGGAGGTCGAAATAAAGATTCCTAGCAAAGAGTGGGAGTAGTTCCCCTATTGAAATTCCATTTGGGCACGTTACGCGCAACCTCGTCGCTCGTAATAATTTTCACGACGATGGTTTAGCTATTCCGTCCTTGTATCCAATTGGTCCTCGTTTGCGGCCACGAAGCCTAAATAGTCCCTCTTGACAGTCGCTCGAGCACTATTGACGAATGAGAACAAATCGAAGGGCTCGTTACTGTCGTGATACTGACTCGTTAATGAGGCTTAAAAATTCAAGAACTAGAAAATTAAAGAATTTTTTTTCTTTCCTTGATATAAAAGAAATGACCTTTAAAATGTTTCATCGCCTTTATATCGATTACTTAAGAAGCGAATTAGACAAACGTAGCATCCGTAGGAGATAACGTCGAGTTAAATCCTTATTTATTGGGAGGTTCAATTGGGTAAAAATGCCTTCGTTACACTGATAATCGATGTTCTCGACGAATCTTCATGCACGCTGTTACGTTCATCGATTACGTTTTATCGTCGTTTCGTTGGCGACGCAGTAACGTTACGTTAAACGAGCGAAATTTCGCAACGTTTAACGAGGAAATCGAGGCACGATTTCACGAAGCTGTAAAATCGTAAGCTAAAAGTCTCTCAAAGGCAAGAAGGTCGTTCTCGTCAGGCCTCGTTGACTCGTTATTCTCGGAGAAACGACCACGACGATGACGGCGACGATGAAGCGATGCACCGCACTGCGAAGTGGGCAATATGAACGTCGAGAGGACGGAAACGATGACGTTTAAGTAGCGCGTCTAGCACATTGCGTGCGCCAGCTCCAAGAAAATGCGGAAAGATATTTCGCAGGCTTAGCTCGATTACGTTAATGCTTCGAGAGAAATTCAATTTTCTCTGCTCGTTAGTTAAAAGAAAACCGTCTGACGTTTTTTACATTTGCGATATAACAATTTTGAAAATCCGGCAGGCTACTTATCAAACAGACATTTCCTAGTTATTAGCCCATTCTGAAAGTTATCGTAGTTTTTCCTCTGTTTGACTCTAATGCTGTATTACTATAACATATAGTTGCACAAATATATATTACTGGTGATATATGAACAATTTATGCAGTGTACACTATTTTCTATTTTTATCGAATAAAAACATCTCCTGTAGTCTTCGTATTAAATTATATCTTGTAGAACATCAGCTTACTATACTTTGATCTGGTTACGTGCAAATGTAGGAAGTACTTTAATCGGGGATTTGGTCGCGTAACGATGGCCAACTAAGGTTCTACATTCTATAAAAGCGTTAAGCTCGCGTAACTGTGCACGTGTGGTGGCAATGGTGCATGCACGGACGTCAAACGTGAAACGTCGAGCGTTGCTCGAAGCGTCGTAGAAAAGGAGAATCAGAGCCGGTGGAGTGCCACCATTGTTTCGCCCTTCTTTAGAACACTCTCCGCATTAACGTCGTGAATTGGTACAATGCTGGGAGCTTTCTCTTTCACTCCTCTTTTGCCACTTTTCCCTCCCTCCTTCCCTCCCTCTTTCCATCTCCATCTACTTCCTGCATTTCTTCCTTCTTCGAATCCGCTCGCTTATCGACTATCTCTACCGTACATCCCTATTTTTCGATCTTTCTGCCAGTTCTTATCTTTCATTGTTCTCGTTTCTCTCTTTTATGTAATAAAGGGGAAAATAGGAATAACAAATATATATTTTATTTTTTCACCTAAAGAGTCTGGGGCTAATTATAAATAAGAAACGAAATTGAATTGCAGCTGGGGCGATTACGTTGGGAAGTCGAATAGGGACAGCTCGACTCTTCGTATTTCCATGATGGTTTACAAAGACAGGGATAAAGAGGAGAGACCGGAGAATGCTTGAAAAGCGCAAAACGCTCGTTATTCGAGGATAGCGATCATCATCAGGTCGGAGCCCGGGGTGACAAATGAGGGACATTATCTGGTCCGGCCGTAGTTCGTCGTGGCGTTAACGATAAATCGCTATCCCGATAATTAATATCTCGTCTTTGGTCGCATCGTCCCATTATAAATAGTGGTAGAGCATAGGGTATCAAGGTGGATATGTTTCTGTAATAGCCTGCACGTGGTCATCGAAAGACAAATCGCAACTGGCTGCGCGATTTTACGCGTTCTGTTCTTTTATTCGTTTGTTTTCTATTTAACCATTTCGATCCTATTAGGATATATACGTAGCTTTTTATTTACCGATAATATATTTAATATTTCCGGTGTTTGGATCGATACTCAAAAGGATATGAAAGAATCGGAAGCTTCGATGAAATGTAAATATGTATATCCTTGATCGAGAAAGAGATCGACATTGCAGGTGGGCGGTATCGGAAGATGGAGACTCGATAGATTAGTTTCTGTGAAAAATTTTCGGGCGCGTAAATACAAAGAGTCAACGTTACGGTGATCTTGGTCGGAATGGAATTGCAGCGATGCAAAGCTACGCGATATTCGATTTCTGTTTGTATTTGCTCGGCAAGAGCTTATATCCGTATCCGATCAAAGTTCGTTGCGTTTCGAGATATCCGACTGGACTCATGATATCTCCGGTATCGTGATGTCAAAACGAAAAAAGATGAATGTCACCATTGTAGATAACTTAGCAATGTCAAAGACAAGTGCGTAGAGTTACTGTGATAATAATATGTTTTTCACCGAGTGACAGCGAACAATCACGTACGACGATTTTACAAAAATCATGTCCTCGTGATAAATTCGTAGTTTGTTCCCGAATGGCAGATGTTGATCGATTGCGAAGAAATAAGACGAAATGTGATATACACTGGAAATGCATCGAAGACGATAATATTAGATGTGATAACAAGCGAATAGTTCGAATCCGAAATGGATGGTTGGCTGGACGATTGTTGAGAAGAACGAAAGGCTATAGCCGGAACAGTAACTGTACACCTAAGCAAAAGCTTCGCTTACTCGGCTGTTTCAATTAAGTATCGAACTTTCGCTGACGAGGCACGCGATCTTTCGCTCCCTCTTTGGGCGCACCCCGTCGCCATCCTTTCCTCGTTAACGCTTAGCGACGCGACATTTATCTTTAGCGATAGGATTTAAAAGAACCGTGTTGTATCTCATTTTTATTTTGCTTCACTTTTTTGTACCATTTTTCTTTCTTGTGCTTCTAAAAGTTGCGCGTTCATTACGTTACTTTGAGCGGATAGCGTGTTAATTAAAACATAAACGCTTCGCGTTTGTCACATTGCTATGCACCTCACGGTAGGACAAATCAAAGATACGAGGTCATTGTTTCGAATACGATTCCAGAGGTATAATATGACACGCCTACGAGGTACCCCGATAAGAATAGATTTGGCGGCAATTGCGTATTCGTGTGCATCATTGTCGTTACGCAATATTTGTCAGTGGTTCGGGAAGTGGGTAGTATGTTGAAGAGAGGAAATTTTGGTAGCAGATTCGCGGTATTTTTATGTGGTTGGGGCGCCCGCACCAGTGGCAGCCAAGCAGGCGACCCATCGAGAAAAGAAGCGGCAAAGGAATTTGCAGGAGATGTTGGGCGAGTATCGATGGCTGTCTGGCAAACGAAGTGGTCCAAGGGAATGACATTTAGGGTGGCATCGTGGCGCCACACGAACCGAGAATGTCTCGCGTGCTCTTCTTCCGCGTCTGGTTGACGGTGCGAAAGATTTTCATTGAGCATCACCGTCGACATCGTCAAAGGTCGTCTCGGTATAAATAACCCTGGCGCCGTTGTTGGCTCGTTCTCGTTTCCCTGCTTCGTCGGTCAATTTTTTAGCCGCTATGCGTTTCACCACATTTTATAGCTTCACGAAAGTTTTGCTCCTCCCTCGATCGACTAGCATCGAAGAACCCACAATTGGACCCATTAGATCATCTAATAAGTTCGTGTGGTTCATTTTTATTTTATTTAGAATCTTTAAAGTTCGGTATGATTTCTAAAATACAATTATTCGTAAAATACATTAGGAGCACCGGAGATTATAAATATATAATTATTAGGGCACGAATTTATTTGACGACATGATGTACATGTACGTTGAATTTGTTGTTTCTCGGTAGCGTTACGAAGTAACGATAGGAATTACAAAGTGCTCGAACAACTTCTGAAACGTTTCTGAAATATCAGAACTTCTTTCCTCAAACATCGGTTACGTAGAGTGACTTGAATTAGATACGGCCTGGATAGACAAGTACATGTTACTGCATACAGAAGCCAGACAAGAGTCTTTCATTCACCACTTTTTCGTTTTCACCTTCGACTACCCATGACCGTATAAAAATTAAGATTAAAACGGTCGCTTGGAAACGATTGGTTTTCTGTAAATTGATACGACAGGAAATAGCTTCCCTATACTGAGTATTCCAAAAAGTTGGGACCGAACTTTGAAAACATGTACTCATCAAAGAAGATTCCAATATTAAATATTTATCAACATCTAATTGACACTATGCTTTATAGTAATGGAAGATCAAAACTAACGGAAAGTAGTATTTCATAGGCACGATAATTTTGTTTCCTTAGATCGTTGAAGTAGTATTATGTAGTGCAGTGTGGTTGTTTACTTGTCGAGGTACTCATCGCGATAAGTTGGAGTTGTCTCCCAACTTAGCTTGGACTTTAATATTTCGTGTAGCTTTATTAACCGTGGACTCTCTCGAATTCAGGATTTTCGATCAACGATAACTCAAAGAACGCGAACAGTATCCATGAGTACAAATGTTTCACGTTTGAAGAATTTAACCAAATATTTCCATTTGTTTCAGAGAATTTTGAGAGTGCCCTAGACGAGTGGTCTTTGTTGTTGCTGTTGTTGACGTCGGCTTCGTCGTCGTCGTCGTCGTCGTCGTCGCCGTTGTTGCCCC